GTGTTGTGTTTTGGGAGCCTCCCAGCCGCTCTGCCATCTCCTCCTCTCTGCAGGCAGCTCGCAGGCGGCTCTGCCCTATACTCTGCTCATCGTCTGTGTCTCCAGTGACAAAATGACCCGCTGGAGGAGAGGGACACGGCGCTGAATCCCTGTGACTGGCATGGAGCAGAGGAGCTGGTGATGCAGCCGGAGGATGCTGCGGGGAGGAAGGTACAGGCAGCCTCGCTGGCCGTCGTGCCGGCGGAGGGGCAAGGGGGTGGGCACGGTCCCTAGGCAATGCTCAGCGCCCACGGTCAGGGCTTTGCACCCGATGGGTGCTGTGCACGCCCTGTGCAGCCGAGAGGTGCCCCGACCTCTGGGGCAGGCTGCCAGGGGGTGCCAAGCTGGGGCGGCGGGGGAGGGAGCAGAGGCTCTGCCCTTGGCCCCGGAGCCCTTAAGGACAGGTATTCCGGGTGGTTTATCAGCATGGCTGTTCACCCCGGGGTGCCAGTGGAGGACCCTTCCCGCGTGGGCTTACAAGCTGCTTGCTGCCATGCCCCAAACCCCCACCGGCCTGCCTGCTCAAGGTGGGGCCGGGAACAAGAATTAAGGGTGCATTCAACCTTATTTAGACAGCTCTTGCTCAAGCAATTAGATCTGCGGTGGGTTGTGCTGCTGCAGAAAGCCAGTCTGCCAAAATCTGGCTCCTAAGGTCGGAGGGGCTGCATGCTTCCCGGAGGCAGCCGGGGAGGGGGGGCTGACAAAAAGGCCCGCGGGTCCTGCTTGCAGCAGTGCTGAGCTGGGGAAAGGAGCTGTGAAGGAAATACAGTGGGAGCCATGATTTTGCTCCACCGCTCCTTGTCCCCCATAAAGGCCCCCCACCCTTGGGGGTGATGCAGAAAGGCAGCCAAAATCCTCCTTAAACCCAGGCGTGCTGTCCCCACAGCTTCGCCAGCACCATACCTGCATGCTGCGCTTCCTCCATTACCTAATCACCGCTCCTTGAGAGGTCACCATTCCCCTTTGGGCTCCAGAGACACCCAGGAGCTTTTCCATCCTTGCTCCAGCAGCTCTCCGGTCTCAGCAGCTCCACAATGGGGGCTGCGAGCGTTTGGGAGGGCTCAGGAGTTTTGCAGCCCCTGCTGTGCAGCATGCCGGTGTGCACCTCGGGTTTACCCCTGGGCTCTTAGAGGACCTTTGCAGGGGGCACGAGAGCCCCCCCAGCGGAGGAGTGCCCTGTCCCTGCAGCCGGCACGGTGACACAGATTCTCCATGCAGGGCCACGCTTGGGCTGCTCACACAAGAGACCTGGTTTCTGCTCTGCCTGCTGCCAGAAATGTCCCAGCTGCCTGCAGCAGAGAGCGAGCGAGGAGAGCTGGCGGGGCAGGGGAGCAGGCAGGCAGACAGGCAGAGAGCAGGCAGATGGACAGGCAGCGGAGCAGGCAGGCCAGCAGCTGTGCTGGTGGGCAGAGTATGGCAGGGTCAGTTTTCGGAGGCTGAGAGGCTGCCCGGAGCGGCGTGGTGCATGCTGAGGCTGGTTCACCACCCACATGGCCCCTGTGTCGGGACCACAGCGAGGGTCCGGCGGGTTTCCCATGGACATCTCTCCACCCAGGGAATGATGGACAGGACGCCCCAGTGCTTTAAGTCCATGGGTAGCCTTCTTCTCTGCTGCACTCAGGATGGAGATGTTCGGGACCTCCCAGCCTAGGAACAGGAGAGAAGAGGCCAAGCGGGGCAAGACTCAGCAGCTATGGCCACGCATGGCCGGCACACCAAGGTGCTCCCCTCCGAACTGAACAAGGTGTGCCCCGAGAGAGCAGACGACCCCGCCACGCACCCACTCAGGAAGATGAGCGACTTCGAGGTGGTCCCCAACCTCCAGCAGAGCAGTAGCAGCGTCTCGAGGAGCAGGCGGAAGGCACATTTCCCCACCGGCAGCAATGAAAAGGCAAGTTCAGGAGGTGCTGGGAGAGGGGGCGGTTGGCCACACACGACAGAAGAGCGTTAGTGAGTTATCTGGTGACATGTCTGCGGGGAATCTTGGGCTCGGGGGGAGCATTAATAACAGATCACTTCAGTTTTAGGGACATACAGAAAAATCTCAAACATCTGAGGTACTAGTCCAGCACCTCCAGTACCTCCTCTCCTTGGAGTACACTTGGCTTTGTCCTTGCAGACAGCGATGGAGCTCTCTTCCTTCACATCAAAAAAAGTACCCAGATGTGCTCCAGGCAGCGGGGTGTCTGGCCCTTGGCATAACTTCTGGCCCTTTGCAGAAACCCTGACCCCTTGCTGCTTTTCCTGCTCCCTCAGGAAAATCTCATCTCGTGGATTCCTGAAAACATCCGGAAGAAAGTGTGCACCTACTTTGTTGAAAGCTCCCAGACATCAGATTCTGGGTGAGTCAGACGTCCGTCATTCCCCTCCCCTGCCAGGAAAGCAACAGGAGAGTTTAGTGACAAAGCTACAGCACCAGAAAATCCCACCTTTCTGTCAAGGGAGCTGGTGTCAAAGGGATTCACAAATTCCTTTTTGACTGGTTCTTCACCCTGCTGTGTGTCACCGCATGGCAGATATCCCGTGTCCCAGTGAGGAACCTTCCCGATGCTTTCGCATGCAGTCATTTCCATCCCTGCTTCATCCAGAGCAGCCTTAATATTTCTGCCCTAAACCTCTAAAGGTGGAAATACCAATTTTTTTTTCTAATTTTTCCCCCTAACAATGCTTTTGTTTCTGCACAAGTTCTGAGCTGGGTTGGAGATGCCGGTGCCTGTGGTGTTCTTCATGAACACTGGGTGAGGCAGGTGGCCCGGCTGGGCTTTGCCGTCTGGGTTTAGCTTGGTCTTGGCAAAGTTGGTGGTGTGTGTTTCAGGCGGATCGTGTGCGAGTGCGGCTACCTCAGGGAACAGCACCTGGAAGATGCTGCCAAACCTCCCATCTTCCTGGGGAAGGAATGGGACCCCAGCAGGCACATCCAGGAAATGCCAACGGATGCCTTTGGTGATATCCACTTCACGGGCCTGGGACAGAAGATGGGGAAGGTGATCTGGTTTTCCTGTCTGTCATGCACAGTGTTCAGGTCTTGCCATGGCAGACGGAACGCAGGTATTTCCCTCCTGAGTGAGAGGAGGTTAGGAAAGCATGGAGATGCCCCAAAGGCAACACTGACCAAGTGGAGGAGAGGGAGTGGGACGGGACCCTTCCTCTCTCCCAGCCCTGTGCCTAGTCCCTTTCTGAAACCACGAGACTGATCTTCATGCTCTAAGGCCCACGGTTCAAGGAGTGGCTGTTCTCTGTTCTCGTCCTTAAGTTCGTCTTGGGAATGCTCGGTCCCAGGGAAATGAATGGGAACGGGGTCATGCACAAAGACCTGGGGCAGCAGCAACAAGACTCTGCCAAGTAGTGGTGTGGGAAGCCCCTGGTTCTTTGCTGGGACAGCAGAAATTGTGGTGGAGGTGCCCTGTTACCCTGACCCTGTTGGTTTTACCCAAAACGCATGTATGATCCCTTTTTCACAGTATGTGCGTGTCTCCTCGGATACCCCTCCACGGGTCATCTACCACCTCATGACACAGCACTGGGGCCTCGATCCACCCAACCTGCTCATCTCAGTCACCGGGGGAGCCAAAAACTTCATCATGAAGCCAAGGCTGAAGAACATCTTCCGGCAAGGGCTAGTCAAAGTGGCCCAGACCACTGGTAAGAGATGCAGAGGGTCTCCCTGCGATTGCAGTGGGAGGGGAGCCTGTCATCTGGCCATGTTCAGTGATTATTTGGGATGCTGTGGAGATGCCGAGCTGGCCCAGGAGGCCTGTAGTTCCCTATCTGGACTACCATCACCAGGGATGGACTGTCCATGCTCAATCACTGCAAACAGGCTGGACTGAGAGATGCAACACTGTGCTGAAGAAGGCATCTCCTGTGCTGCCAGGGCTTGATGTAGTGGGCAGGAAAGACATCTTCTGGGGGATGGAGCATCTCTGAGGACCAGGTGTTCTTGCAGCCTTACAGGGGATGCTAGGAGATTGCTGTGAGCAGAGCCTCTCCCTTCCCAAGCCCCTCTCTGACCTCCAGGGGCCTGGATCATCACAGGCGGGTCCCATGCTGGTGTGATGAAACAGGTGGGAGAGGCAGTGCGAGACTTCATCCTGAGCTGCAGCCACAAGGAGGGCGAGATTGTCACCATTGGCGTAGCCACCTGGGGGACCGTGTACAACCGGGACAGCCTCATCTGCCCCATGGTGAGCCAGGCAAAGTTGGAGATGTATTTGCTTTGCCTATGCCTGCACTGCCGGGGATGTCCTGCCAAGGACCGTGGTGGGAACGGGTGCTTCAAGATGTGCCGGTGCCTGGTAAAACCCAGCCGTACCGGAAGAAGTGATGGTCCCAGGTTGGTGTTTGCTGAGAAGCCCCTCTACCCTACCCAGTGTGTTGTGTGGGTGCTGAGCTTCTCCTGGGAGGACCCTTGTGGGTGTGAGGGCAGGTGGAGCAGAGACAGAGGAGCATGGGGCAAGGCTGACGTGAGGACTGCAGGGAGGGCTGGGACGGCTGCTTGGCCAGACTGTCCTCACATGCTGGCCAGTTCTTGTCCCACATGCTGGTTGCTTTGGGCATCTGGTGCTCCTCTGCAGCCCTGCCAGGCTTCTCCCATCGTCTCTCCTCCTGCACCTTACAGGGTGGATTTCCAGCTGAGTACATACTGGATGAGGAGAACCAAGGCAGCCTGTCATGCCTGGACAGCAACCACTCCCACTTCATCCTGGTGGACGATGGGACCCACGGGAGGTACGGGGTGGAAATCCCCCTGAGGACCAGACTGGAGAAGTTCATTTCAGAGCAGACCAAGGTGAAAGGAGGTAACGCAACACATAGCCAGGCCTGAGGCAGGGGAGGGCACAAGGCAGGATGGGTCATCAGTGGGTAAGGGGTGCCCATCCTGGCGTCCGGTGAGAGGGGAGGCTGTGGCTTCCCTGGAGGATCCAGGAAAGGGGTTTGAGAGGGTTATCATGATAAATGAGGAACCTGGTTCCTCAGTGACACCAATCAAAGTCTTTCTCTGCCAGCTGCTCAACTTATGGGATCGTCAAGGGGGTTCCCAAACCTTGTGATGCTGAGCTGGTCGGGGGGAGTCGTTTCTCCCAAAGGGCAACGCTTCCAAGGGGGCTTCCAGGCAGTATCTTCTTCCTGTGCAAATGGTCTTCTGTTCTAACACATGCACACACATGCTCCAGCAGCACAACTGCCAGGAGATCATCTCCCCTCTCTCCCAGAGCCCAGCATGTCAGGGGCAGTGCTCCCCCCTTGCCTTTCACACCCCACTGCTCAGAGGGGACCCCATTCAGCTGCATGGGGGGGCTGCCCCACAGGGAGGTGACCCTGGGCTCTGCTTCCCCGCAGGCGTGGCCATCAAGATCCCCATCGTGTGTGTGGTGCTGGAAGGAGGCCCCGGGACACTCGACGTAAGGAATTGCTCCTGCCCGCTCCCAGCAGAGCTGAGAGGGGTGATGGTGGGAGGGGGAAGCTCCTTGCCCGCAGAGCTGCTCTCCGGTGTCGGTGTCAGCGTGGTGCCACGCTACCTGAAATGCAGCCAGATGGGAGTGCTGCAGAGCAGCGGTGTGGGTCTTGGGCTCAGAGAGGGTCTGCTGGCCTCTGGGTGGGATTAGGACCAGCCTCCCTGCTCCGTTACAGACCATCTACAATGCCATCACCAACGGGACCCCATGTGTGATTGTGGAAGGGTCTGGGCGTGTGGCTGATGTCATCGCACAGGTGGCCAGCCTGCCTGTGCCCAAGATAACCATTGCCTTGATCCAGAAGAAGCTGAGCATGTTCTTCCACGACACCTATGAGCTCTTCACTGAGGGCAAGCTGGTGGAGTGGACCAAGAAGGTGAGCCTCTTACAGGCAGACAGCTCCTCTAGCTGAGCTTGTGGAGATCAAAGGGGTCCCCAGTGGTCCTTGTCCATGAGCAGCAAGGCTTCCAGCGTGAAGTTTAAGGCCTACCTTCCACCATCCATCCATCCATCCATCCATCCATCCATCCATCCATCCATCTCCCCCCAGCCATGCTCAGCATTGTCCTGGTGGGCACCTCAAGGGCTCGAGCTCTGCTCCTCCACTGCCTGCTCCCTTTGGCAGAGAGGTACCATCTCAGACCAACCAGCTGGGCTGGGAGACACAGCACGGGGGATCTGCAGGCAACCCAAGGGGAGCAAGGAATTGCCCCACACAGGACAGGGGGCTGCAGGAAGCGGCGGGGAGGAGATGCTGCTGCTGATTGCTTGCCCACGGCTCTCCTTGTAGATCCAAGACATAGTGCGGAGCCGGCAGCTCCTGACCATTTTCAGAGAAGGCAAATATGGCCAGCAGGACGTGGATGTGGCCATCCTCCAGGCCTTGTTCAAAGGTGAGGGGTGGGGACCTGCTTGGGAGGATGGGGCAAGACGAATGGGACACAATCCACCTCCTGCAGCTGCTTGACTTATGGGGTCACAAAAGGGGTCCCCAAACCTTGTGATGCTGAGCTGATCAGGGAGAGATGTTTCTCCCAAAGGGCCAAGCCTTCAAGGGAGCTTCCAGCTGGTATCTTCTTGCTGCATAAATGATCCTCTGTTCTAACACATGCACTTCACATGCAGCATCCCGAAACCAGGACCACTTTGGTCATGAGAACTGGGACCACCAGCTCAAGTTAGCTGTGGCCTGGAACAGAGTGGACATTGCTCGGAGTGAGATCTTCACGGATGACCACGAGTGGAAGGTAAGGGAGTACCTGTGCTGCTTGTCTGGTCAGGCTTACGGCTGGTGAGGTCCCACTTGAGGACTGTAGATACTAAAGGCACCGTTCACCTTGGCTGTGCCTGTGGAGAGTTTTTGAGGGCATTTCTCTTGGACCCTGAACTCCCACCACATTGCCAGGGGCTCTTAATCTGTCCTGTCTTTCAAAAGTGTGCTCACACACCCGAAGTAGAAGTGAGCACACCCTGCAATTCATTGCTTGCAAAGGTTCTATTTGGCTTATAATTGTTTACAAAGGTGATATTGATTGGTATTTTGTTCAAAACCAATTGTCTTTTAAAGACAATCCAGCAACCTAGAGCCAAAAATACCTCTTGCCAGCTCTGCCCTGTGGTCGCTGCTCATGCCACCTTGTCAAATGGTAACTTGTCTCTAAACTCATCTCACCCAGCCTGGTGCGTCCCTGCTCAAACTTTACTGCAGAGCGGGGCTGGGAGCAGCACGACCCAACTCTGCCATCCCATGCCTGATCCAGCTGTTGAGAAGTGGAAGCTGAGCGGGGGTTTCTGCCCTTTCCACTGGGTCTGTGGGACTTGGAAGGGATTTTCCTATTTCATTCCACAGCTTGGGTTCCCCCAGCTCACATATAGCTTTTGTGGAACTGGGAAGAGCTGGTGGGAACCAGGATCCTGAAGAGAAAATATTTGATGGTGTGAAAATGCACAGCCTGAACAAGATCCACACCTCTGTTGGGAAGGCAGGATGAGGCAGGGTCTCGGATTAGCCGATGCAGGCCAGGGCTGTTACAGGTGCTGAGACCGCTGTGGCTGGCATGAAACGCTGAGGTTGAAACCAAGCTGTGGTGGAAGGTCAGCAGGTACCTTCCTGCCAGGACAAACACCCACCCCCTTACCCATGGGCCTTGCTTTCACTTCTGCACATGTCAAGGTTGCCTTGGAAAGGAAAACCCCGCAAGGGCTGAACGGGGCAAGCACTGGGAGCAGCCAGTCTCTCCAGGGCTGAGATCCAGCTGGCAGCACCGCGATCCTTCAGCTGAAGAGTTGTGCACGGGGGACAAGCCCGTGAGGGTCATTTGTATGGTGCATCCCTGTGAGCTGGGGAAAGAGGGTCTACTCTTTACCCCAACCCATCCCTCCACCCAGCAGCCAAGGGAGCAGAGGGTTTCGCTGCCAGGGGAGAGCGCATGCGAACCCAGAAGTGTGTCTCTGGGGGACGTCCCACAAGTCCCAGTGCCTGCCAGCTGCTCTCTCACACCCAGAAGCTCCTTGTGTGCTCAGGGATAAAATCTTCCCCCCATCTGAGTGAGGAGCATGGTGGGGTGCTGCTCTGGGGTCATGGAGACCCTCACCTCTGCCTCTGGCCTGCCAGCCCACAGATCTCCACCCCGTGATGGCAGCTGCCCTGATCTCCAACAAGCCAGAGTTTGTGAAGCTGTTCCTGGAGCAGGGAGTGCGTCTCAAGGACTTTGTCACCTGGGACACCCTGGTTTACCTCTACGACAACATGGCACCATCCTGCCTGTTCCACAGCAAGCTGCAGAAGGTCCTGCTGGAGGAGAGAGAGCATGCAGCTGGCTCCAAAATGCCAAGAATCCAACTGCACCACGTCTCCCAGGTGCTGCGGGAGCTCCTGGGCTGCTCCACACAGCCTCTCTACCCCAAGCCCAAGCACACGGAGCGGCCCCGGCTCTCCGTCCCTGTCCCGCACATCAAGCTGAATGTACGCATCTCCAGGTTACGTGGTGGCAGGGTTGCATTAGGGAGGGGGGACGCTGGCTCAGGAAACCACCCCAGAGGGTGCAGCTGGGTCTCTGTCCTCTTGCCTGCTCAATTATCCCACTTAAAGCCCCTTAAAGCCCTGCCCACGTCATCTGCCCCACATTCAAGGTGCGACTCCCTCCCTCCTACACTTGCAGCGACACGTTGCTGCGCAACTCAGGTGGGCACCCAGTGGGGTGGGTGCACTGGGCAGGATGGTCCTGGCCCTAGAAAAACTGCCGTCTCCAGGATGAGTCCACTCTTGGCCACCCCGCTGTCTGCAGCAAAGGCCTTTCCATGGGTGGTGGAGGCCGGCAGCCGGGGTTCGGGGGTGGCTTTGTGCTGATGGGCTGTCTGCTGTCTGCACACCTGGCAGGTTCAGGGGTCAAGTCTCCGGTCCCTCTACAAGCGCTCTGCCGGCCGAGTCACCTTCACCATGGACCCAGTCCGCGATCTGCTTATCTGGGCTGTGGTCCAGAACCGCAAGGAGCTGGCAGAAATCATCTGGGCCCAGGTATCGCAGCTGTCGGTCCCAGCCGAGAGGCTCAGATGGAGCCAAACCTCCCAGCCCCAAGAGGAGCGATGACACCTGCTGGCATCTGGGGCAGCAGGCGAGCCTGACCCCCCACCCAAATGGAAGCCAGCTAGCAAGCCTGCGGACACGTGATGTCCATCCCCAGACACACACCATGATGCCAGATCCCTCCTTTCCCAGCCAAAACGTAGGCTGTGGGCAGAGGTGATGTGCTGGGCCAGAAGTGCGAGGGCTCAGCACACCACAGGCAGGACACGGGGCACGGCAGCTGGGCTGGAGAAGGCTTCCACCCATAAGCAGCATCCCCAGGCAAGAGGCAGCGTAGCTGGTGGCGTGGTGACCGTGCCGTGCAGAGCCGTGGAGTCACACCATCCCGTCACCCAAGTCTTCCCATGATGAGAGCAGGGTTGTCCCCGGGTTCCTGGTAGCACTGGGTTACCTACTGCCCCGCACCCAGTAGGGAGCACAGCTCAGCCCCAGTCCGCTTGGGATACCCTCCTTCCATCCCATGGGAGCCATGGAGGGCTTGGCAGGACTGCCAGGACTTGCAGGGTAGGGCGCAGAGCCCCACGCTCTCTCTGGCCTCTTCTGCTCCAGAGCCAGGACTGCCTGGCGGCCGCGCTGGCCTGCAGCAAAATCCTGAAGGAGCTCGCCAAGGAGGAGGAAGACACTGACACCACCGATGACATGCTGGCCCTGGCCGAGCAGTTCGAGCAAAAGGCGATCGGTGAGCGGGAGGGGACCAGCAACCCAGAACTGCTCTCGCGCCCTGCAGGGCTGGCTAGCTTTGCCCAGGAGGTGTCTGGGGGTGATGGAGGTGGTGGTGGTGCTGAACAAGGGTCCCCTCGTCACGGTCAGGGTGGTGGTGCTGCGAGGGCTGTGCCCAGGTGGTGGTGGGAGCGCAGAGGTGGTGCGATGTCTGGTTCCTGCTGCAAAGGGTGACTCTGCGGGCACCGTGCCGAGCACCAAGCTGGCCCCGGAGCTCAGCCTTGTCTCCCTGGTCCCTGCCTGGCCAGGTGTGTTCACAGACTGCTACCGCAAGGATGAAGAGAGAGCCCAGAAGCTCCTCACCCGCGTCTCTGAGGCCTGGGGGAAGACAACCTGTCTGCAGTTGGCGTTGGAGGCCAAGAACATGAATTTTGTGTCCCATGGGGGTGTCCAGGTGGGTTCCCAGCAGTGGTGCTTGGAGGAAAAGTGCCCAAGTGTCCCCTGCCCCAGATCCAGGGCTCCCTGCAGCCCCACTCTGATGGGGGGAGCTTCTGCAGCCAGTGCTCCTCTTCCTCCCTCCTCACAGGCCTTTCTAACCAAAGTCTGGTGGGGGAAGATGTGTGTGGACAACGGGCTTTGGCGGGTGATCGCGTGCATGCTGTTCTTCCCACTTCTCTACACCAGCCTCATCACCTTCAGGTACTGCTTGCAGCCGAGGCATGCGTGCACCAAGCCTGGCTGGGAGAAGCTGCCGTGGCATCTCCCTGGGCAGCTGATCCCCGTTTCCACCCCTGCTCCCTGCAGGGAGAAGAGGCTGCAGCCCGTGGGCTGCCTGACGCGCCTCCGAGCCTTCTTCACAGCACCTGTCGTCATCTTCCACATGAACATCCTCTCTTACTTCACCTTCCTCCTGCTCTTCGCCTACGTCCTCATGGTTGACTTCCAACCATTGCCGTCCTGGTGGGAGTACCTCATCTACTTCTGGCTCTTCTCCCTGGTGTGTGAGGAGACCCGCCAGGTACGGGGCAGGCAGAGCAGAGGCTGGGAGGTGAGAGGAGGGAGAGACACCCCTCTGGGTGCTCCTGGAAGGTCCTGTGTAGCTCATGTCCCCATGCTGCTTCTCAGTCACCATCCCTTCAGAGAGGTCCCAGCATGAGGGACTGCCTGATCCCCCTGTCTCTGAGGCCAGAGAGTTTCCTTGGCTGTGCCTGGCCCGGCCCCGGGTACTTGCAGAAAGACATACTGTTTTGAGTACAAAATGTCAGGAGGTGGAGGGAACACCTCCTTCCTTGGGCATTCATTCCCAGAAGCATTTCCAGGCTTTGCTTGACATTTGATTTCTTTCCGCTTTTGCTTCAACATCTCAGTGCCTTTCTGCACCATGTCTCAGCTATCTCTCCCCATGCTCCTTCCATGCCCCTGTAGAAAACCCTGTAGGCTCAGGTTAACTTTGGGTGAGCAAGAGGGTCCAGTGATGGCCAGGCAGGTCTGTGCGGTGCCTCCACAAGGCACACGAGTATCTCACAAGGCTTTCACTGAAATACCAACCCCTCTTCTGCTCCCAACAGCTGTTGTATGATCCAGATGGGTTTGGCATTGTGAAAATGGCTTCCCTCTACTTCAAGGACTTCTGGAACAAGTTGGATATCTGCGCCATCCTGGTCTTTATCACAGGGCTGACTTGCAGGTGAGTTGCAGAGCCTCTTGCCTGGCAGCGCACCGGCTCTGGCCGCAGCTGTAGGCTACCAAACTAGCGTGAGAATTGTGCGGGGTTTTTAATTGCAATTTCTTCTTCCAAAGGCCAATGAAGACTTTTGCGGTTGTGTGATTAATTCTGACCCATTTACCGCTGCTTTTAGGAGAGAGGTTTTTCGTGCCGCAACGCTCACCCAGCACTCTGGAGAAGCTCACTGACATTGCAGAAACGTAATGCTGCGAGATCAGAAAAAAAACCCACACTGGTGGCACTGAGATGTTTCCTTTCCTCTCTTCTGTGCCCAGGCTGATCCCGTCAACTTTATATCCTGGACGCATCATACTGTCACTGGCTTTTATCATTTTCTGCCTGCGTCTGATGCACATTTTCACCGTCAGTAAAACGCTGGGGCCCAAGATCATCATAGTGAAGCGCATGGTGAGAGCTCCCCTCCATCCTGCCAGGGTGATCAGCTGGAGCAGCCAGGTGCCTGCATGGGATGGATGTGCCACCCATGTCATCCTACCCTGGAGTGGGCTTTGCTCCAGGACACGATTTTGCTTCCCCTCTGTCTTTGCAGTTGAAGGATGTCTTCTTCTTCCTCTTCCTGCTAGCAGTGTGGGTGGTGTCCTTTGGGGTCGCCAAGCAGGCCATCCTGATCCACAACGAGGAACGTGTGGAGTGGCTTTTCCGTGGCGTGGTCTACCACTCCTACCTGACCATCTTTGGGCAGATTCCCTCCTACATCGACGGTAAGGGATGCTGGCCTGTGATAGTGCATGGCACGAGCAGGGTGGCCGCAACAAGGCTGAGGGGCACCAAGCTCATGCCGCAGTCTGACTAGCTGCTGCCGTGTTGGCCCGTGGAGGTCCTGCACTGGGCTCCTCTGCAAGCACAACGTAAGGCCAAGAGGGAGCAATGGCAGGGCGAGGGAATGGAGTCTTGCTCCGGCATGTTGGGAGAGTTGTCACCAACGCAAACCCAGGGACTGCACCTGCCCGAGTGTTCAAGAGAACACACTAGCAAAGGCACGAGCCGATCCAGCTCAGTGCCACAGCTGCGAAGCTGGTAGCAGGGAGCAGAGCACCTGGGACGATGCAGATCGAGGTCAAATCCCTGCCCGGTGCTAAGCTCCCTTGATGCTGTCTGCTTTCAGAGAGCACAACTTGCTCCCTGAGACACCGCGAGGTTTGGCCACAGCAGAGTCATGCCGTGCTCTCTTGCAGGGGTCAACTTCAACATTGACCAGTGCAGCCCCAATGGGACCGACCCGTACAAGCCCAAGTGCCCAGAGACAAATGAGGACAACAAGAAACCCATCTTCCCAGAGTGGCTGACGGTCATCTTACTGTGCCTGTACCTGCTCTTCACCAACATCCTCCTCCTCAACCTCCTCATCGCCATGTTCAAGTGAGTTTGACCTGGCCCCGTGGTCCTGACAGTGAGTCGAGCTGGCTTCGCTTGCGGGCTTGGCCACGGCCATGGCCCCGCACACTGAGAAAGCACAAGGAGGGTCCTGGGGCACATGCTGACCAGAGCACAGGGGTGCTTTTCTGGGGGGGGTTATAGATATGGTGGAAGTAGGGGGTGCAGGCCAGGGCTGAGCAGGGAGACGGGCAGGAGCTGGGGCACCACACAGACATGATGTGCCCCTTCATCCCCATGGCACGGCTGACACCTGGGCTCTGCCCCAGCTACACCTTCCAGCAGGTCCAGGAGCACACGGACCAGATCTGGAAGTTCCAGCGTCACGACCTGATCGAGGAATACCACGGCCGCCCGCCCGCCCCTCCACCCTTCATCCTCCTCAACCACCTGCAGATCCTGGTCCGGCGAGGCTTGCTCCGCAGGCCGGCCACGCGCCACAAACAGCTCAGTGAGGATCAGCATCTCCCCTCCTACCCTTTGCCCCCTCCCCGGGACACGGCACTGTGCACCAAGGCATGAGGCTTGGTGTCTGGGCTGCGGTACCGGGGTTTGGGATGCCGAGGGACCTGACAGCACTGCCATCCCCTTCCTCTGGCAGAAGAGAAGCTGGAGAAGAACGAAGAAGCTGCCCTCCTTTCTTGGGAGATGTACCTGAAGGAGAACTACCTGCAGCACCAGCAGTGCAAGGAGAAGCAGAACACGGAGCAGAAGATCCGAGATATTGCACAGAGGTACCAGCACTCCTGAGACAGGGACATCCTTCTGTCCTCCAGTGTCCTGGGCAGGGAAGAGTTGGGATTAGTGCAGGGGTAGCTGCTGAGGGGGTTTCTCTCTGCGCTGTCCCTCCAGGGTTGATGTACTGGCAGAGCTGCTGGACTTGGACCGGGTGAAGAGGACAGGGCTGGTGGAGCAGAGATTGGTCTCTCTGGAAGAGCAGGTGAGGCAAAAACTGAGAAACTACCTAAGAAAGGTGGGGTTTTCCAGGGGCTGAGTCAACTGAAGCACAAGAGAAAGCCCATCTGAATCAATGCCCCTCCAAACAGTTTGAGTTTCCTTCCCAAAACAATAGCATCCGAGAGAAAAAGGTTTATGGGAAATGTTCTGTTTGACTCCACCATGAACAGGATGAGGGTGGGAGTTGGTGGGACAAGCCCCTGCCTCCACTGATCACCCAAGCAGTTAGATCTGACCCAGCTCTTCTCCTTGGCCCGAGAGGACCCTCCAGACCTTCTGGAGATGGGGCACTCTCTGCCCCCGCCCCGTGAAGCTGTTCCACAGCCTGCAAGAGCAGTGGGGTGCTCGGGGAGCCAGACCGGGCCCTGGCATCTCCCCTCTGAGATGGCCACAGCATGGCTTGCTGTTTCCACTTCCATTTCCATCTGCTTTGGAAAAAACTGTTTTTCCCTGGAGGCAGTTCCCAAGCCGAGCATCAGGGCACAGCAAGGATTGCAGCCAGGAGC